GATCCAGCTCATTTGTAGGCCAGCACTTGGTAACATTCTTGGTTTCAAATCCTGATGAAAATAACCAAGTGCTGGTTCACGTCCTATCTCAGTCCTACAGAGACTCTAAAGAACTTCTGAGGAAGATGACCTTGGCCACACTTGCCTGAATGACTGTACCTGAGTGAGCCATTTTTCTAAAGGGATGGATGGACCCTTTGAGCCCATAAGTACCACTTGGAGCTTTAGTGCTACAAAGACTTAGTCTAGAAGAAGAGGAGAAGGAGCCTCAGGTAAAGAGAGCCTTGAGTGGCAAAGATTTTCTCCCCAGTAGATGTAAAAGTTCAAGAACCAATACCAGTTGCAGTTCAGTCAACTGACTCATGGCTACCCCATGTGTTTCAGTATAGACCTGTGCCCCACAGGGTTTTAGAGACTGAGTTTTCAGTAGATCACCAGACCTTTCTTCCAAAGCGCCTCTCTGGGGGTACTTGAACCTTCAACCTTTTGGTTAGCCACTAAATGAGTTAACCGTTTAAACCACCTGGGCCTCCAAAAGTTCCAGAGTTAGTGCTTTTCTAATTTCTAAGGAAGAAACCCTTTGTTTCAAGGAAATGTTTTCTGTGTTTGTGTTTCTGGGCTTGGGCTGACATGGGTCCATCTCAGGAAACAGGACCTCCCTCCACACTCTTAAGAGCTTTATAAATTGCTTGTTCTCAAAGACTTTCTGGTCCACTGTGCCAAAAATATTTTTTTTAAGCAAAACATTTGTTCATATCAACATGACTCTGAGTCAAACCAGATCATTCCTTTTTAATAGCTCTGCTTTTCAGAAGAATTCAACTGAATGTTCATATGGTCTGTTCATGATTACAAGCCATCAGAATCATTTTTGTAATAACAATAATAGTTATCATTAACGTAACACTTATTATCTGCCAGGCAGTATGCTAAATATGTAATATGCACTCTCCCTTTTAACCTTCACAGCTTTATGATGCAAGTACTAGTATTATCCATACTTTACAGTAAAGAAAGCTGAGATTCAGAGAGGTTAAGAGACTTACTCAATGTCACATGACTAACAACAGACATAGAATCCAACCTAGACCAGGCAGAACCCAAAGTCCTTGCTCTTATTCACAGTGTTATACTTTCAAGATTAAAAAAAGGCTTGTCTCCAAACCTAGACTGGAAATTCCTGGAAGCCAAGAGCTGTATCGTAAAGTACTTATCACCTGAGCGCTGCAGCATCTAGCAACAGAACTCAAGAAACCCAGCAACCATTTTTTTCACTCAACCAATTTTCCATTATCTGCAAAGTTTACTCTTCTTCAGTGAGCCACAGGATTTTTTTTTTTCTTAAAAACCTGGCTGAAAGAGTAACACAAAGGGGACCATTTAACATTTTGGCTCTTAAAATGGAATAAACATGATGAAACTGACTATTATCTATCAGTAAACAGGATGAGACTTAGGAAAATGCCAATGAGAGTGAAGGTGCCCTGATCCTCCCAATTCAGAAGCCACTCCAGACATCCCAGCAGTCAGGGCTGTCTGCCTTTCCCAGACCAATGCAAAGCTGGCGACAGCAAACATCAGCAGAGGAGAAGGAAGGAAATGGGTTGAACCACACAGTTCACCTGATGGAAGCAGCACTGGATGTTTCCTCTGTGTTTTACTGGTTGTCACTACTGTGGCAGCAAAAGGAGCTGTGGATGCTCTTGAGCCACTGCAGGGCTCTTAGTTGACAGTGTCTGAGGGGCAGGTTGCATGCGCATGGTGTGCTGGGCAGAGGGTGATGTGCTACGTCAGTCTCAACTCTCAGCAGGTAAGAAGGGGCCAGCTAGCATATGTTGGAACTCACAATCACTTGGTCAAGAAATGCCCTGAGTATTAACATTGGACAACTGTGGTGTGTGGATGAGTTGGGCCACTGACTAGGATCGGGTTGAGGTACATTAATAAGTCAGGAAGGACCAAGGGAGGAGATTCCATAGCACAGGAAGAACAGGCACTACACTGAGTGTGGAGTGGACCAATTAGGTAGCCAAAGAGCTAAGTCCAGAACCAAGAGAAACAAAGAGAAGACAGGACATGAAGAGCCGAGTCTCATAGGAACAAGTGCCAGAGAGTCCTCCCAGGAAGGAGAATTTCAAGGCAGCAGGTGTGTATGGCAGACGAGTAGGCTCTTCCCTTCCTGGGGCACATGCTAAGGCTGGGCAACAGAACGGGCATTTGGTATTGCATCTCAGGGCAGAGGAAAAGGCAAATGCTTTTCACATCACATCTCTCTGGAAAAAATGCTAAGAGGAGGTCAAAGTCAGCTGTGTGGAAGGCCTGTGTTATAGACACAGGCCCAGAGTCCTCACCAAATCCCCAAGCAAAGTCCCATTTAGAGCAGAGCCTGATGGCCCTTGAAGACTGATAACCCATGTCAGAGACCAAGGAGAATGTGAGGTGGGTTGTGCTAAAGGAAAGCAATTGGTTAGAAGACCAAGGGGATATTCAGGGGTAAGGGAAAGAGAGAAAGCTCTAATCCAAGGTCACTGGCCATAATATTGAGAGCACAGCCTGGTGGTTCACACCTGGGACTGCAGGGGACCACACTCCCTGAGCTTTAAAACTGGGGGACATTGTACTGGGTGGAAGCTACAAATCGGAAGCAAAGCCATGCTCAGGACACTCCTCTGGAGTCTGTGTGTGCTTGACGGGCTTGTTGTGAAGTTGCTTAGTAAATGGACCATCTTCCTTCTACCTCAGCTCACAACCAACAGCAATTGTTACTGACAGCATCACAATGTGAAAGACTTTCTTTAAAGACATTCCTTGTGTGACTTTAGTAGTTTCCCCTTGGGATGGACTAAGTCTTTAGAAAGATCAGCTTACCTCCCATGACTGTCATGCTGGTCCCACTTGGGTCATTTGGATGTGGAGCTGAAGGTGGATCATAGCCAATCACCAAGTCAATGGTGGCCTGGGTAGAAACAATTCATTGTGGACAGAATCACTGCAGGGCGTCTGAACATTACAGACTCAAAGCAAATCAACTCAGCAACAGCAAAAGTCTTAGAAGTGGTGAGCAAGGGGATAAGGAAGTAAGAATAGAAAGGAAGAAGGATGATACAAGCTCAACCATTTATATCTTCCCATATGTGAGCCAAGGTGGAGTGGGGAAAGTAGAAGCCTGGGAATGGAGTCATCTGTAACAGTTGACAAAAGTATCATTGTTAAGGGTCAACCGCATAAACTGGAGTAAAGTTGTGACTAGCAAGTGTGAACTTGTAATTAGGCTGTGTCTTAGACTAGGGATGGCCAGATCTACAGTGACAGAGGCTTGTTTTTAATTATGGATTTATTTATTTGCTAATCGACTTAAAAGAATTTTAAGTGACTAACAAAAAATGCATATATAATGTGATTCATGAAGTAGGTATAAAAATGGGGAATCAAGTCCGATTAAAGAGGAACAATATGAAAAACCATGAAGTTCCACATAATTAATATTCCTTTTGCATAAAATGTAGCTCCAAGATGCCCAGGTGCCAAGGCAAAAAGGAAAACAGAAAATGTTATGTAACTTCCATTTTCAGAAAAGAAGAATCATAGTAGTTTCTTACAAGTGGTAAAGTTATTTCTACTTATAAAATCTGAGATAAATTTCTCACATGGGGCATTATTTTAGGGCAGAGTTCTCTATGCTTTTATATTTCATTGAACCTACAGAATTTCAAAAAATTTTGCTAGGGGGAATCAACACAGGGTTGTTAACTTTTACTTTGCCAAACATATTCCCACAAGTACCATCTCAGCCATAATCATTTCATAAAAGAAAGGCATCTTTACACCAAAAAGTAGGAAGGACAAACCTCAAAATATAGGGAGTCATTTGCAAACAGATCTGTTATCTCAAAACCAGTTTCTGCTTTTTTGGGAAGTGAACTAATTATAAATTAGTGCTCCGTTCTTAATGAGATTTCACATAACCATCTCACTTCAAAGCCATTCCACATAATGAGAAATGCTCACCCCAGTCTCTTGGCCCCTTTCGTTTAGCAGGGGGGTGAGTTTGTAGGGCAGCGATCTACTCTGGTCACCAATCAGGTCCTTCAGGGGTACAGCCGCCGTGCCAATCAACCTGCAGGAGAAATGGCAAAGCACGCAGTAGACTAAGTGAGAGGCATGCTTCCATTTGCTCATCAGACCCCCCCCATTACATTCTTACACATCTGTTACAATTGAAATCACCTCACAATGAAACGCGGGTCATTTTCAGGGTTTTCAGAGTAAGTGAGCATGATATATCTGCCATGACTTCTCCATAACAAGTAGTCATTTCAAGAGTTAAACTATGATGTCTATGAAATTTCAACCAGTCATGAGTGAGGCAGATAGGTGAGAGGCAAAAATGAAATATAAAACCAAAAACCAAACTCATTACCATTAAGTCAATTCCAACTCATAGCGACCCCCCCAGTGGGTTTCCAAAGTCATAAATCTTTTTGGAAACAGACTGTCTCATCTTTCTTTCACAGAGTGGCTAGTGGGTTCGAACTACCCAACCTTTCTGTTAGCAGCCAAATGCCTTAACTACTATACCACCAGAGCTCCTTAAAGACTAACTATATTCCCCCAGAATCCAGGAAGAGAGAAAAGTAGCACAAAATTCAGTAAGAAAGTAAGACTTCCTCTGTCAGAGATTTTAAAGGATTCATGAGTCTTTGCCTATTGTAAATACTCTCCCCCACACACACTCTAAGTAGACTTCCTTGAGCTGTGAGTTAGGTTGCTAGTTTGTTGATGAGGATAACTTGACACTCTATATATTTGGGGGCAGTATTCTCTGAAAGTGGGGTGTGTGCATTTCTCTCTCTTCCTGGCTCCTGGAGGGTTATATTCAGACTCTACCATTTACTCCCATGCTTACTATCCATAACATATGGTACAGAAGTGCACATGTGTCCCTGTTCACTAAAATGTAAGCCCCATAAAATCAGGGGCAGCAACCCAATAGAACTGACCCATAGAGCAGGTATGAGACTGTAATCTTCATAGAAGCAGACTACTATACCTTTCTCCTGTGGAATGGCTGGTGGGTTCGAACCACCAACCTTCTGGTTAACAGATGAGCATTCAACCACTATGCTACCAGGGCTCCTTGCCTAGAACACAGTAGGTATTTAACAGATATTTACTGAATTAAGGAAAGAATGAGTCTACGTGTATTGAGAATAAATATTCAAAACATTTTTATAGTTAGGGCACATAATCAAAGAACTTTAGAAACCAATATCCCCAAGAAGTTAGACATTGTAAAAATGTAATCAGTGGCAAACAGTTTGCAAACTGGGGACTGTACACAAAAGAGGATATAAGAGTGGGTGAATTGAAGAAGTCCCCTTTGAGAATGTGATCAAAATGGCAAAGAAAGCCCAAAGTATGCTCTTGGTCTGAATACCAGAAAAGGAAGAGAGAAATAGTAAGATTTCTAAAATATTACTTACTGATACTAAGTCTACGTTTGCCTTGGCTTTATGCTAACAAATAGCAGACATGCTAGAACTGAAAATCATTAGCATAAAAATAAAAAACTAAGCACCAAGTCCTTAAAGTGATACAAAAGATTCATTGTAGTAAGAAACCTAGAGTGAGGAAACAATTATTGAGCATAAACCGAAAATGGACTTTCCAGCAAAAAAAAAAAAACAAAAAAAAAACCACAAGAAAGTTCATCTTGAGAAATACTCTTTTTATTTTAAAATGTAGTACTGTTTCTTTAAAAATCAGGAAGTGAAAGTGGATGTCCACTTGAGCATATCACTTTAGAATTGTCATGTACATATCATATTGTCCTCCCCAACTTGGGCGTCAGCCCAGTCTGCACCCCAACCACACACATTCAGTGATTTGGCAATATTAATAAGTGGCTTCACTTTCTGTGAATGGATATATTGTACTGCACAAGACTACGAGATGGCTACGGTTCACTATTTCACCCAAGTCAGCCAATATTATGACCCATTTGTGTGTGGCTTCTTAGAAGAGTACACATTTTACAGAATGTCACACAAGACATTCAACAAAACTGATGAATTCTCAGCTCTTCCAATCACAATGACAGTCTGTCATTGACACGGCAAAGAGAAATACTGACTTGTGAGGGGTGAGAGTGACTTTTTTCAGCCCAGTAAGTCAATAGAGAAATTAGGTCTTCCAGTCAACACCGAGAATTGTTGGAACCTTACACTATTGACCAGTAAGTCAATAGAGAAATTAGGTCTTCCAGTCAAGACTGAGAATTGTTGGGACCTTACAGAGTACAGGAGTCTTTCAGAAGTGGTAGGAAGTAGAAATGCCTACTTGATTGGCTTGGCCTTAAAAAGTGGAGAAAGAATGGATGTACTTTTCTCCCCAAGGAGCATTCTGTCCTATGTATCAATGGAAGACTAACTTAGCTAGCGCATTAGCACTATGCTTGGACTGTGGCAGGTTCTGTTGGCCCCTGCTGAGGAACCCAAGTGAGAGCTGCCGCTCCTGGCTCCAGAGGTCAAGAAGTACCTCAGGAACAGCTGGGAGTTAGAGACTGAGGCAAGTTTTCTTATCACTTTGTATGTGGTGGCCTGCCCTTCTGTACCAAGAAACCCTCCCACAACTAGTCCCAATCAAACTGGCATGCTTACTTTACTACCGTTCACTGAGGATGCAAGACAGATGTCTTAGGATCAGTCTGGAGGTAATTGTATAGGAGCTCTGGTGGTGCAGCATCTAAGGCATTTGACTGCTAACTAGAAGGTTGGCGGTTCAAACCCACCAGCCCCTCTGTGGAAGGAAGATGGGAGCAATTGACTTCTGTAAAGATTTGCTGCCTTGGAAACTCATTGGGGGTTGCCATGAGTTGGAATTGACTTGATGATGGCAGTGGGTTTGGCTTTTCTGGTTTTGTGATAACTTAGACAACTGAGCTGGGTCTGGGGTCCTCAGAACACTCCCATTCCTACCACATACACACTTGACCTCAATTTCATCCATATCTGCCAGGAATTTTTTTGTTTTTGTTTTTTAAACCAATAAACCAAACCAAAACCAAAAGTCCCCATACTCCGTTCACTACTTCAAGAGCACCATGTAAACAACCACCATCCTGATTAACTAGGAGTTCCTATTGTTGGATGAAGATTAATTGAGTTTTTGGCAATTGCCAACCTGTTAGCTTCGTGCTATTGTGGGGTTTTTTTTTGTTTTTTGTTTTTTTGTTTTTTTACATGAGCATGGTTTCTCCTCACTGGAATTTTTATTCCCCTAACTATTTGAGGACTGGAGTCTACATGTTACTCCATCTTTATCAGATGAACTCCCACACAGTGAGAGAGTCTGGTGAAATCTCTTTCAAATCTCCGTCAGCCTGAGGAGTCTGTGTAAGTCCGAGGAGAATTTCTCTCCATGTTTTTCCAACAGAGGAGTAAGCCATGGGAGGTGGCTAATTGAGTTTTAAAAGGTAAAAAATGTGAAAATTACAGATTATAAAGTCATCTGACTAGTACTAAATGCCCAAATGAAGCATTTTGCCTTGAGAGACATGAAAACATAAACTGAATTTGATTCCTCACAGTTCCCATGATCCATAGCCTACCTCTGTGATCAAGATAAAAACATTGCACACTTGAACATGTACTGATTTGTTTTTGCTAAAGTCAAAATGACCTGAATCTCTATCAGTATAAATAAATCTTAGAACAAACATTACATGTCAGGACAATTTTGAAGGAGAAAGAAGGCTGGCTTGGAGTTGGACTTGTATTTCTCAACCTCTGAACTACTGACATTCTGGGCTGGTTTATTCCTTGTTGTGGGACACTGCCCTGTGTCTTGCCAGATGGTTAGCAGCATTGCTGGCCTCTACCCATTAGATGCCAGTAGCAGGCCCCCAGTTGTGATAACTGAAGACACCCCAGGCATAGCCAATTGCTCCCTGGGGATTTTTGCAAAAGAACCTCGGTTGAGATCCACTGGGGTAGACAATTCCTAACGCAAGGTTAGATAACTCTCTGACAACTTCCTCTGAGGTCTTGGTCAAGTCATCTGACTCTCTGAGCTTGTTTTATTATTGGCAAACAAGTGGATGGAAGCAAATAATTTCTCTGACATTTTTTCCAGCTCTAAAAGTCTGCAGTTAGGCTTGTATATGTGATGATTCTATGTGCATCTATTTAGGAAACTCTTGGGTTAATATTTCTTTTCTCTTACTTAAAGTCCTTGCTCTCTAATTTAGGGGGGAAAAAATATTGTACAGTATTTCCATGTGGGTCAATCCAGACTGTTAAGCAGAGTTTTACTTTCAAGAGGGTGTTGGCCAATAATGTCAAAGGTCAATTTTAAATTCAAGGGTATAAGGTAGAAGGTTAGGCTGATAAGATAAATGAGGAATACAATGATGCGATATTAATAATAGGTAGTGGTGAGACTTGCTGCTAACTGGGGAAAACAGGCTTGCCTAGAACACAAAGACCATCTGCTAGCCCTTTATGGCCCTGGATGGCTTTACAAGCCCAATCATTCTGACACAACCAATATCTGCTGTTTTCCTTTTCCTATGAGAAGGTTCTTCATAAAGTTTTCCAGTAATATATCAGACAGTGTTTCACTGCTAATCATAAGGTTTGGTCATGTGGTCATAACAGACCATTCCCTGGAGAAGATATCATGCTTGGTAAAATGAAGGATCAGAGAAAAAGGGGAAGACCCTCCATGAGGTAGGTCGATGTAGTAGCTACAACGATGGGCTCAGGCATTGCAGGGATTGTGAGGTGGCGCAGGACCGCGCAGGGTTTTGTTTTGCTGTACACAGGGCCACTGTGAGTTGAAATCAACTCAGCAGCACCTAACAACAACATGAGAAGGTAGCAACAGATAAATGACCAGGAACGGAAAGAAATAAAAGCAGCCAGCTACAAATCTAACTTTAATTCCCTCTTTCAGAAATCTTTCATATCAATTCTTATCTTTTGCTTTTATATGCTGATGCTTCTATAGGGGGAAATGGAAACGAAAACCATGTGTGTGTATGTTTGTTTATACTTTTTTTTTCTGAAATAAAGATAGTGAGTTCAGATGAAAGCTTTAATCCCAAGGATATTTTAC